TTATTTGTAAACATTGCAATAAAAAGTCAAGCTTTTGGCAGGTTTTATGGCCCTGCATCAACTTTGACATGTCCTTTTATCTTTCCTGCCTAAAACTCTCCCCTTCAGGAAAGCTGAATTACACTTCGATACTTGTTTTTGTACAGTTAGTCCTAGTGTTGAGGGATCTCCAAGACCACTCCCTGGTTTGATGACTCTCTAGTATGACTCCTAAGATTCAGCATTATTTGTGACTATGATTTATTGCAGTGAAGTCATCTGAAGCAGAATCAGTGAAAGGAGGGGGCACGTGGGAAAAAGTACAGGGTAACCCAGTTGAAAGCTTTACAGAATTCTCTTCCAGTGGAGTCACACAGGAAACAGTTCCCTCAGCAACAGGTTTGACAACATGAGATGTTACCAGCCAGAGAAATTTATGAGAGGCTCTGACCAGGATTCTTATTCAGGGGTGATCATGTAGGCACTCCCTGCCTGGTACATGCCCAGAAGGAAATTCTGGTCCCCCAGAAGAAAAGTCAGTGTTGGCCATCAACCTTATTATTTATACAGACAATTTAAGCATAGTGAGCTATTCTTGTCAGGTAACCGTGAGTACCTGCCTGAAATCTAAGTTCCCAGATGCCAGCCAAGGACCAACCTTATAGCCATGCCTTCCGAAGGAAGGCTAGCTATTCAGGCTTGCTATGTTAACTCTATTTTTTTCTTTGTTTCAAGTTTTAATTTAAATTCTAGTTAACATATAATATGATATTGGTTTCTGGAGTAGAATTTAGTAATTCATCACTTATGTATAGCACCCAGTGCTCATCACAAGTGTCCTCCTTAATACCCATCATCCATTTAGCCCATCCCCCACTGTCCTCTCCTCCAGCAGTCCTCAGTTTCTCCTTTATAGTTAAGACTGTCTTAAGGTTTGCTTCCCTCTCTCTCTTTTTTTTCTTTCCTTCCCCTGTGTTCATCTGTTTGGTTTCTTAAATTACACATGTGAGTGAAATCATATGGTATTTGTCTTTCTCTGGTTGAACTTATTTTGTTTAGCGTAATACACTCTGGCTCCATCCATGTCGTTGCAAATGGCAGGATTTCATTCTTTTTTCCATAGTCTTTCCTTCTGTCCTCTCCATGAAATGGTTATCCCCATAAAATATTGTGATTCACACTACAAGTTTCCATGCCACAAGACATTGTTTGAATTGGTGCTATGTGGAGGACCCAAGGTTTTACAAAGATGAATGAAACGTAGTTGTTTCATTTAAAAACAGAAAACTTTGGTGTGAGTCAGACCGTTAACAGTGAAGGTGTACATGAAGTGCCATCAGCACAGAATAGGAATGACTGAGTAAGAGAAAATTGGTAAAGGTTTTCTGCAAGTGGATGTTATTTCATTGGAGACTTGAAAGTGAGCAGGCAGTAGGCTGATGAGGTAAGATGGGGGAAGGGTATGCAAGGTGGAGAGAAAGAAGTATGGGGGTGTGAAAATGTAAGGTGGCTCATGACAAAAGTGGTCAGGTTTGTCTATTCAGTTGCTTGTGCAGAGAGGTTGGTGAAAGATGAGGTTGAAAAAGTTAGGGGAGGCTGGCTGTCAAATGTAAAAAGATTTTTTCAACTAAGGAATATTTAGGTTTTTTTTGTTTTTGTTTTTGTTTTTGCGCAGAACATAGGAGCTAAAGAATATTAGTGGTGCATAAAGTTGTTTTCAAACTGCATGCAGATCACGATCCATTAGTAGGTTGTAAAATCAATATAATGTCTTTTTAGTATTTTATAAAAGAAATGGGATATTATTTTGTAACGTATCCTAGTGCATTGCACACAGTGAAGATGTTTCATGAAACATTTGATAGATACACACGCACCTACATATGTGTACTGGGTTGTGATAATAAGTGCATTTGTAACATTGGGTTACAGTCCAAAAAGTTTGAAAAAATTTTTGAAAGCAGATGAATTGCAAGACTGTAAACAAACCATTTCAGAGTGTTGTATTTCCAACGATATGGTGACCTAGATAACCTGAAAATGTTTCTGCTACACACAACCTAGGAATACTAAATAAAAAATAGGCCAGAAGATGCACACCTGGGTGGTTGAGAATGTGAGTGAGATATTCAGGGATTAGAATGAAGAGTAACTGAAAACAAAGCATGTGAGCTCATATTTAGGGTTGGGGGATGTGGGAGGGGAGGTAGTTAGTTGGTCTCCTAAACCTAGGGCCTTTTTCTTTTGTTGGTGTGTCTGTGTGTGTGTGTGTGTGTGTGTGTGTGTGTTAGAGCACGAGCAGGGGAGAGGGAAAGAGGGAATCTTAAGCAGGCTCCACACCTGGCACGGAGCCCCACATGGGGCTTGATCCCATGACCTTGGGATCTTGAGACAAAATCAAGAGTCAGATGCTCAGCCGACCGAGGCACCCAGGCTCCCCTAGGGCCTTTCATTTTAATAAGAGGCTATTAACCCTAGGAGCTGAGAAGTATCCAGCAGTCAGTGCAAGGCAATAATCAGGAGTTGATCTCTCTTGTCTTAGGATCTGGGTTGAAGAAGACAAATCTGAGAATGTGGAACTATGTTTCATACCTCATAAAGGTTTGGAATTCAAATTCATACTACCCAAGTGGTCTTGAAACCTGCAGTCTGGGAAATTAACATAAAAATTTGATCCCAAGCCAGTTCATGAGGTGCTTGGCAAAAGCCAGGCAAAACCACTCTTGAGTGACACACATTCAGTGCTGGCCACACACATTTCTCATGGTTGAATGCTATATACTAAGATTCAAACCTCCATAAGTGAGAACAGCATATACAGCAAATTGAAGGATCCTATTTCCCCCTGAACTTTAGCAGAGTAGAGCTCTCTGGTAGAAACTTAAAAAAATTTTTTTTAATGTTTATTTATTATTGAGAGAAAGAGAGCGAGCATGAGCATGGGAGAGGCAGACACAGAATCTGAAGCAAGCTCCAGGCTCTGAGCTGTCAGCACAGAGCCTGACGCAGGGCTCAAACTCACAAACTGCGAGATCATGACCTGAGCCAAAGTTGGATGCTTAACCGACTGAGCCACCCAGACGCCCCTCTGGTAGCAACTTTAAAATCAGAGTTCTTAGGGGTGTCTGGGTGGCTCAGTTGGTTGGGCATCCGACTTCGGCTCAGGTCATGATCTCACTGTTCACAGGTTAAAGCCCCATGTGGGGCTCTGTGCTGACAGCTCAGAGCCTGGAGCCTGCTTCAGGGTTCTGTGTCTCCCTCTCTTTCTGCCCTTCCCCTGCTCACGCTCTCTCTCTCTCTCTCTCTCTCTCTCTCAAAAATAAATAAATATTAAAAAAATAGATTTGGGGCTCCTGGGTGGCTGGTTATGCATCCAACTTTGGCTCAGGGCATGATCTCGCAGTCCGTGAGTTTGAACCCCGCATCAGGATCTGTGTTGACAGCTGAGAGTCTGGAGCCTGCTTCAGATTCTGCATCTCCCTCTCTCTCTGCCCCTCCCCTGCTTGTGCTCTGTCTCTCTTTGTCTCTCAAATGAATGTTAAAAAAAAAAAAAAAAAGAATAGAAATAATGGGGGAAAGACAGTATTCAAAAGTGTAATACTAAGAATTTTCCAGGATTTATGAAAGACATGTAAGAAGTACAATGAGTCTGAAGCCAAAAATAAAAATAATTCCATGTCTACTTCAGAATGAAACTGCAGAATGCCAAAGACATAAAGAAGATCTGAAAATAGTCGAGGGTGAAAAAGCCAAAAAGCTATTTCAGTAATTAAGTCAAGAGCTGATGTAGGTCCAGTGTTGGAGGATGGGTCCAGAAGACCTGTCGGAGAATTAGAGGTGGCATGATTTGGTAACACAATATATGTCGAGTAAGGAGGTTTAGGAAAAAAGGTATTTAAAATAATGTTGAGACTTCCGGTTTGGTTATTGAGGCAGATGACACTCTGTTCAAGATTGGCAGCAGAAGGATTGGAAGATTTGGGATGTGCTAAGGATGAAGGAGTGGATCAGAGAAAAGTAACATTGTTTAGGACTTGGTAAGCTTGAAGTGACTAGGGGACACCTACATACAGTTACCTGCAGGTGATGAGAAATACCAGTCCAGGGTCTAGAAAGCCCGAACATACGAGTACACAGGTCATTTTTGTAAGTGATTATTGAAATACTGAGATTGCCAAGGGGTAGAATGCAAGGTGAGAAGAAATGCAGTATGTTTTGGAATGTGGGGAATAGACCTCTTCAAGACGTAGATCGAAAATGAACAGTGAGAATGTAAGACAGGAGTGGAATAAAGCTGAGAAGCTTAGTGAGATTTGACCATCGGGAGATTATCGAAGGAAGACAGGACACACACAGTTATGCTGCAAGGAGTTTTGACAACACCTGTGAGATGTTGCCAACCAGGCTCGCTCATCAGAGACTCAGTGCTTTCGATTTTTATTTGGGGCTGATGACCTAGGCACCCCCTGACTTTTGAAAAAGTCTTTTCTGTGTGTTAGAAGTGACCCCCAGGTGTTAGTTGTCTAAGGAGTGCATGGGAAGTAAGAAATTGGAAAACACTCAAAAAAGTTGGACAGTAAAGGAAGACTAAAAGACATCTTTGTTTTAAAATACAAACGGTTTACCATGCAGCAGTATACCATTTTAGAAATGTTTTATTGTCTGTTTAGGGTCTTTTTTAGTCTTTGAAGACAGGGACTTTATTTTTCTTCCCCCCTAATGCTGTTATGAAAACAGCAATGCTCATTAAATGAGTAAGCAGTTTTTGGTGCCACTTTATTGCCTTCCACCAGATGGACATCTTTCTATTTTTTCTTTTCTCAAGTGTGTCCCACCCTGCTCTCTAAACTACTTTCTCTGTATTCAGCTTTTTTTTTTAGCTTGCTTTTTCTTAGTTATCCATTAGTGGGATTATCTTAGGACAGTCAAGACTAAAGAGGTTTTAAGGGTTTAGGTTGAGACATTAAAAAGTTTGGTTGCGGGTGTGTTACTCTGTTAAATTGCTCATCTTACATCCCTAGGAGGAATATAAAAAAACAGCAGTGTGAAGCAGTTGTGGGAGCACAGTGTGGCAACGCAGTGTTAAGAGGAGCCCATGTCTACGTTCCCGGAATTGTGTCAGCTTCGAAATGTAAGTATAATGTTTAAACGTCTCTGTAAAATAAAAGATTCTTTAAAATCCGTGTACATGATCAAATGGAAACTTTATTTAACTATCACTCAGACGCATGCATTTCAAGTTTATCGGATATCTTCCAAGTTTTACGTTTGGGATAGCCAGCGAGAGATTTATCTGATACGGTCTAACAAATCTGGCATCCACGTAAGGTCTGCCAGTTTTTTCCTTTCCTTATAAGGGTATGTGAGATGATCTTCAGAGGACTGTTACTGATTAATAGAGTGTAAGATGTCAATGAGATTTTATTTTGTATTCTTAAGTCCATTGCCCTCAGACTTCTGTTGTCACTGTGTGGGTAACCTTCAGTACCTGGAATTTTAATATTGGAGTAAAAGTCAATATTCTTAATTTACTCACTCAGTTGATGACCTGTTACATTATGCTTAGTAAATTAGTCACTGTGGTTCAGTCCTAATTTATTGGGCTTGAAATCAAGAGACAGGGGTTTTGATCTCTTGGTAAGCTATTCAGTCTGTGGGCTTCAGTTATCTTGTCTGTGAAATAAATAACTTGACCTACATTAGTGTATGCTAAACTACTGCCCACTGGCCAAGTCTGGCCCATGTCTGCTTTTGCGTGGCTCACAACTGAAAATGGTTTTTCCATTTTTAAAAGATTGTTTTAAAACGCAGAATATGCCAGTAGACTTGATGTGGTTCACAAAGCCTCAACTGCTTCCCCCCCTTTACAGAAAAAATTCACTGACCCCTGATCTGTGTGAACAGTTCTAGCTCTAGCTGATCTGCTACTCACTACTGTGGGCAAGTTAATGGGCTAGACAAATTTGTGGCAGGCTAGGTCTAAGAAGAAGTGGAATACAATTTCCCATTTTGAAAGTCATCAGGATGTGTTAGTGAAATTAATGAAATGACTATAAAAATCAGACTTAACCATAGAAATAAATTCTGTACTCTGTAGTTTCAAGGTGTTGTGAGTATATACACATGTATATGTATGTGCGTGTATATGTGCACACATACATATATATGCACGCATGCACACACACACATATATATATATATATATGAATGAATGTTTGTGCTTATCATTTATATCCCTGCTGTAACTGCTATAATAGGAAACCTGCAAAGAAATAACAGGGTTGTGGGATTTAGAAAAATTTCTTTAAGGGATTTTAGTATACTTTTTTGAGGAATCGTTTTAAAAAAAAAGTGAAAATGGAGGGAGAGGAATGGGGATGTGGGGTGAGGGTAGGAGAAAGAGAGAGAGAGGGAGAGAGGGAGGGAGGGAGGATCCCAAGTAGGCTCCTCTCTTTCGGCACATAGCCCAACGTGGGGCTAAAACTCATGAACCATGAGATCGTGACCTGAGACGAAATCAAGAGTCAGGCCCTCAACAGGTGCCCTGGGATCTTTTTAAAGGAACCTTAGAACTTTGAGGATTGAGCCAAAGATACCAAACTTTAAATGAAATTTTTTAGGAAATGTTAGGTTTGGAGAAAACAATTTAAGTAGGAGATACCTTCCTTTTCTGCTTAGCTAAATTCTTCCAATTTAGATAGAATGTTTTGAAGACTTTTATTTTTTTGTTTTCCTAGAAAAAAAGTCTTCAGTTAGATTTATTGTTACAGAACATTTAAAAGCAAAAAGCAGTATTTTCTGTAAGGGGTTATTTTGAGATAATGAGCCAGTTTAGACCTCCATATCCACTCGTGATGCCCTTTCATGTCCCCAGTCCAGCTTAAAGAATGTTCACTATTCTCCTACCAAAACAGAGTTTAATTAGTATCATCTGGTTTTCTTCTTTCTTAGTTATGAAAGCTGGAGATGTTATTTCTGTATACTCTGATATTAAAGGCAAATGTAAGAAAGGAGCCAAAGAATTTGATGGAACGAAAGTATTTCTTGGCAATGGGATTTCTGAGCTAAGCCGCAAAGAAATCTTCAATGGGCTACCTGAACTGAAGTATGTCGTCAAGTTTTGTTTGGGGGAAATGTACATCCTTTCTGGTGATTCAAGGAAAATAAAAACAATGTCAAAAATAGATCTAGTTGCATTATAAAATTTTGTTGGTATAAATTCAACTGGAAAATAATCGTTGAGTGCGTATTTCCATGGTTTTTGAAAAATTGCTTTTAGGTGAAAGAGTAGGTGCTTAGATTAAAGGGCCCTGAGTAATCACATAGTCACACTCTAGTTGTCAGTTTCAGTTTTCCTTGTGAATTTTATTGATTTAAAAATTGTTGCATCTTTGGGGAACAGTACTCATCTTGAAAAAGGATAAATTGTGACCTATCCAGAGCTTTTTAAACAATCTGACTTTGTGAAAGGAAAAGCTTATGATTTTAATAAAAATTAAAAAGCAAAAAATTTATATTAAATTTTTACCAGAAAGCCACATGGCTACTTGTGGTCAAGGATTAGTGTTTGGATTTACTCAAACCAAATTAAGATACAGTTATTGTTAAATCATCTCAGGTTGCTCCTGGCTCTAACTAAACACATCAAATCTGTGGTCAGTCCAGAGTCTGCTTTTGCTTCACGTTTCGGCCTAAACTGTTTAAGGAGTTCTGTGGACAGCTCCATTACCCCACCGCTGACAGCTGATGTAGAGGTACTGAAAGCTGTGCGTTTATCTGCGGAGAACTGGACCATGTCCCTGATTCCTGGAACAGATTTCATGTTGCATTGATTTGGGTTTATGATTGAAATTACTTCTTCAGAAGTAACAGATTATTGGATTAGCTAACTCTGGAAAGCAGGCGCTTTCCAAATGGCCAAGAGCAAATATTTTATTCTTAGACGGCTTATGAATATGAAGATAAAGCATATGTATGTTGTGTTTTTCTTTGGGTCTGAAATAGGGAATCAATGCTTTGACTGCCTCCTTCAGTTCTGTTGTTAGTAGTACACGCCTCATCCTCTTTGTGTGTGTGTGTGTGTGTGTGTGTGTGTGTGTGTGTGTGTGTGACTGGCTTCATTTTTTTTTTTCCTGAAGAATAATTGACATACAATATTGTATTTCAGGTATACAGCACAGTGATTCAGTATTTATATGCATTAGAAAATGGTCACCACAATAAGGTGTTACCATCTGTGGTCACGCAAAGTTGTAACAATATTATTGACTATCTTTCCTATGGCATACCTTACATCCCCATGTTTTATTGATAACTATTTTATTTTTAAATTTTCCTTCAGGTTTATTTATTTATTTTTGAGAGAGAGTGAGTGAGTGAGTACGAGCGAGGGAGGGGCAGAGAGAGAGAGATCAGGAGACACAGAACCCGAAGCAGGTTCCAGGCTCTGAGCTGTCAGCTCAGAGCCCGACATGGGGCTGGAACCCACAAACCATGAGATAATGACCTGAGCCGAGGTCAGACCCTTAACCAACTGGGCTACCCAGGCACCACTTTTGATAACTTATTTAATCTTATTTGTAACTTATTTAACCCCCATAACTTAATCCTGGTAACTGATTTATAACTGGAAAATTAATCCTTTTCACCTATTTTATTCATTACTGTCACCCCCTTGCCTGTCGTACCCATCAGTTCTCTGTATCTATGATTCTGTTTCTATTTTGTTTCGTTTGTTCATTTGTTTTTTAGATCCCACAGTGAAATCATAACAGTATTTGTCTTTATCTGACTTACTTCGCTTAGCATAGTACACTTGAGGGCCATCCATGTTGTCATGAATGGCAAGATTTCATTCTTTTTTGTGACTAATATTCCTGTGTGTATATGTATATATACCACATTTTCTTAATCCATTCATCTATCAGTGGGCACTTTTCTTCTTGTGATTGATTTCTAGCTCCTTGCAACTGATTTCTAGTTTCATACTGCTGTGTAGGAAGAGAAGCTTGATGTGATTTCAGTCTTGTTAAATGTTAAATTTATTGAGATTTGTTTTGTGGCCTAACGTGGTGTATCTAGGAAAATGTTACATGTACACTTGAGAAAAATGTGTAGTCTGCTGTTTGGGGATGGAATATCCTGTATGTATCAAGTCGATCTGGTTTGATGTGTTCTTAACAGCTGTTACTGGATTATTTTCTGTCTGGATGATCTATCCATTGATATATGTGTGGTGTTAAAGTCCCCTATTATTACTGTTGTTAATGATTCTCTTTATGATTATTTAATGCGCTTCTTTGTCTCGTTACAGCCTTTTTGTTTTAAAGTCTTTTTTGTTTCATATAAGTGTTGCTACCCCAGCTTTCTTTTAGTTTTCATTTGCATGGAATATTTTTTTGTAGCCTTTTACTTTCAGTCTGTATTTGTCTTTGGGTCTGAAGTGAATCTTTGTAGTTAGCATATAGATGGGTCTTGTTTTTTAGCCATTCACTCATGCTATGTGTTTGAAAAAAATTTTTTTTAGTTTGTTTATTTTGAGAGACAGTGCGAGTGGGGGAGGGGCAGAGAGAGAGGGAGAGAGAGAATCTCAAGTAGCCTCCCCAGCACTGTCAGCGCAGAGCCCGACATGGGGCTAGAACTCATGAAACTGTGAGATCATGATCTGAGCTGAAACCAAGAGGATGCTTAACCGACTGAGCTACCCAGGCGCCCCCACTCATTGCTTAGATCATTTATATGGTACTTATTGCCATTTTGTTACTTGTTTTCTGATTGTATTTGTAATTCTTTGTTCTTCTCTTGGGACTTGATGATTTTAATATTATGCCTGGATTACTTCCTCTTTTTTGTGTGTGTACCTATTCTAGATTTTCAGTTTGGTAACCATGAGATTCATACGTAATCTATGTATATAACAGTGTATTTTAAGTTGGTGATTGCTTAATTATGAACACATTCCAAAATCACTACATTCCCCACCCCCACCCAGCAGCATTTTATGTTTATGCCATCATATTTTACATCTTTTTATCCTATGTATTTTTTATCCTTATTATTATATGTATAGGTGATTTTACACCTCTTGTCTTTTAACCTTCAGACTAGTTTTATAAGTGGTTGATCCACTACCTTTACTATATATTTTCCTTTACCAATGAGATTTTTTTTTCTTTCATATATCTTTATTTCTAATTATGGCCTTTTCCTTTTTGCTTAAAGAAGTCCCTTTAATATTATAAATTTAATTTAGTGGTGATGATCTCCTTTAGCTTTTGCTTCTCTGATAAACTCTTATCTCCCCATCAATTGTAAATGATACCCTTTCTGGGTAGAGTATTCTTGATTGTAAGCACTTTGAAAATATTGTGGCACTCACTACCTTCTGGCTTGCAAAATTTGTGCTGAGAAATTGATAGCGTGATGTGCAGGGTAGGGGGTGGGTTCCCTTATACGTAACTAATGCTTTTTTTTTTTTTTTCTTATTTTGTTGCTTTTAAGATTCTGTCTTTATGTTTTTAATTTTTGACATTTTTAATTATAATGTGTCTTGGTGGGGATATCTTTGGGTTCATCTTTTTTTGGATTCTTTGTTTTTCCTAGACCTGGATGTCTGTTTCCTTTGCCAAATTAGGGACACTTTCATCTACTATTTCTCAAATAAGTTTTCTGCCCCTTTCGCTCTCTCTTCCTCTAGAGACCCCAAGAAGGGGAATGTTAGCGCACTGATGTTGGCTTACAGGTCTCTTAAACTATCCTTAACACTTGTAATTATTTTTTCATTTTTTTGTTCAGTTTGGGTAACTTTTACTACCCTGTTTTCCAGATCACTGCTCTGTTCTTCTGTATCAGTAATCTGCTGTTTATTCCCTATAGTGTATTTTTATTTCTGTCATTCCTCACCTCTAATTGGAACTTTCTTATATTTTATTTTTGTTGAAATTCTCTCTGTGTTTATCCATTTTTCTTCTGAGTTTGATGAGCAGTTTGATGGCCATTACTTTCTTTCTCTTGGGTAGATTGTTTATCTCCGTTTAGTTTTTTTTCTTTTGTTTTATTTTTTTGTTTGGAACATATTCTTTGTCTCCCCATTATGCCTAACTCTATGTTTATTTCCATGTATTCCATAGTTCATCTACATCTCCTGGTCGTAAAGGAGTGGCCTTATGTAAGAAATGACCTGTAGGGCCCAGAAGTGCGATTCCCTCGCGCCGACCACCAGACGCAGGTGCTTCAGGGGTGTTCCCTGGGTGGGCTGTATGTGTCCTCCTCTTGCAGCAGCCCCTCAGTAGCTCCAGGTGCATTCTTCCCTCCCTTGCCTGGTTAGCTGGAGGCCCATCCCTGATGGCTGCAGGTGTGCTGGTGGGTGGAATTATCACCCTGTAGACTGCAAGGCCCTGCTGAGGGCTGGGGTCGTATGGGGTTCTCAGTGGGATGCACACCGTGGCTTTAGCGGTCTAGAGGGAAATTTCAAAATGGTGCCTTTCATCCCAGCATCAGCAGGGCTGCCCCCAGTGTCTTACCCCCCAGGGCGAGTCCCCTCCATCCCCTTCAGCAGTTGTTCCAAGATTAGTAAGTAGGTCTACTTCTATGGTGCATGTGCTTTTTGATCTGGCTCTGATCTTTTTTGTTCTTTTTGATGTGGTTTTTTAATCTGATCTGAAACCATTTGTACTGGTTTCTGGGTTGAGTCTGTGTGGAAGGCTTTTTTGAGTGGGTTTTCCTTTCCCTGTGGTTCTGTAATTTTCCTGGACCTACTCCCTGTTGGTTTTTAAAGCCAGCTGTTTTGGAAGCTCATCTCTCCATGCAGGATCCAAGGGTTGAGTTGCCTGATGTGGAGCTTCGATCTCTCTTCAGGGAGATAAGATTCCTTTGAGGTCCCTTCTGACCATGGAATGTTGTTCCTGGGGTGTGGCTTTTTCCTTATCAGGAATGTATCTCTGCCATTTCTACCCATCTTGGTGCTGTCTCTTGTTGTGGGGGCTCTGTTCATCCAATCTCTAAGTCCCCTTCAGAATGAATTATGCCATATGTAGCTGCACATTTGTTGTGTCTGTGGGGGGAGGTGAGCTCAGGATCTTTTTATTCTGCCATCTCGAACCTTCTTCCACTCTTCATTCTCTTATATTATTCAGAACTACTACACTGACAGACTTTTCTGAGTAATGTTTTTTGGTGGGAGTAGCAGGCAGCCATCTTCCAGAAAACTCTTTTGTAAACTCAACTTTTAAACTCCGCATCCAGTTATGCTGTTAGGATTTCTTTCTCTGCCTATGTGAGGAAAAGCATGCTTCCATAACCAAGGAACACTGTGCATACACAATGTTTCTTGTGGAATTTTAGAACTACGTCAACTAGTAGTACTTTGTTATTCGGTTGGTAAGTTTGCACCCTTTGGCTTCTTGAATTATAGCAGAGTTGAGTCTTAGACTTCATAGAGGTAGATTAATTTACTAATAGCCTGTTTTTCCTATGAGATCTGGTGCGTTGCATTATTATATGGAGATACACCTAACAAAAAAAGTTGTACTTTAAGTTAAATACTGTATGGACGAACGTACTTGTGCTGGTGGTCAGAAGGAGATACCCAAATAGCAGAACTTGAAACACTAGGTGGGAACTGGATTAGAAAGGCAGGCCTATAAATGTTAATGTTTTGAGTATTTTTCAGAGGACTAGTGTCCTGGGAGTCACAAATTCATTTAAATTACAAAAGAGTGAGCAGGTGGGTCGTGGCATTCAAGGTGTTCCATAATGGATTCGGACTCTTGGCAGGGGTTGAGGTGTTGATCAAGGTCAGTATACCAGTTATACCAACAAATGACTGACTTTTGAATGTGAGGCTGTGACTTTTCAGAAGGTTCCTTTGTATTTTTTCTTGTCAGGGACAGCAACTGTGCAGGAAGTGGCTAGATTTGATCCCAGCTGGAGCAAGGACCAAAGACTGAACTGATGAACTAACTCTCATTAAAAGTAGAGATGCAGACACATCGAGGGAGGTTAAAAGGGATGGGAAGGGGGAGAAAGGAGTTCATATTTACTGTATGACAAAGGATGTTAGAACTAAGTGGACATCATAGTCCTCTCACTGCGATGGCAGTCCATGAATAGCTACAGCAATTATTTCACTTCAAAGGGCAGTATAAACCTATCCTTCTGAGGCATAGTAATAATTTGGTCTTTGGGTTCCTGGCACACAACCCCCCAAGTCCTTGGAATCTCCGTAGCGATGAGTGTCTTCTGTATGGTAATGAGAAGACTGGTAGCTGGGGGTCCCTTGGTAGCATCTAGATGGCACTAGCGAGAGGAACCAACCACGTGGTTAGAAGGTTGGAACTTTTAGCTCTACCCCTGGACATCCAGGGTGGGAGAGGGCCTGGAGATTCACTTAATATCCAGCAGTCGGTGATTTAATCAATCGTGTCTGTGTAATGAAACCCCCATAAAAACTCCTAGATAGTGGGCTTCAGAGAGCTTCCAGGTTGGTAAACACATGGAGGTGCTGGGGGGAGGGTGGCGGGTGGTGGTGATGCATGCGCCTCTCCCATACCTTCTGCGCATCCCTTTGATTTGGCCAATACTAACTTGAATCCTCCATGGTAAACTAGTAATACTAAGTGCTTTTTTGAGTTCTGTGAGTTCTAGCGAATTTTCAAACCGGGGAGGGCACTGTGGAAACCCCCAAATTTATAGCCAATTGATCGGAAGTCCAGGCGGCACCTTGGGATGTGCAGCTGGCATCTGGAGTGAGACCAGTCTTGTTGGATTGAACCTTTGAGCCTATGCAGTCTCCCGATAATCCCAGGCAGTTAGAGTCAGAACTGAACTGAATTGCAGGACCCCCGGGTGGTTTGAGAGAAAACCTTGCACATTTGGTGGCAGGAGCGTTGTGAGTAAAATTAGCCCAACTACCTATGTCAGGCAGGGTGCAGATCATTGGAATGGATGCTTCTGCTCCAGGATTGGTTCAGAAGCTGTGAGTTTGTTCTCAGTGTCCATACTTAGATGCTATACGTGTACTCCTGCACCTGGGTTCAATCCTGTTCTCATCCTTGCCTTTATTATTAGATTGCGCTTTTTCTGTGCCCCTTAAATCCCTGGAACATGGTGTTGATTGGCTTTTTTTCTTCCTCTTTGCGGTGTGGCCTGATATGCCAGGCCATGTTTGGCATTCTCTAACTATTTGTGTACTTCCTCTTGCCTTTGATAGTCTCTGACAGCCTCTGTCAGATTGCGAGGTTTGTCCTGATGAATCACCATCCACCATGTTCTCCTGGGCCCTTGCACTTCCTGCTCTGATCATTTCCCCTGCCCCTTATAAAATGGGACAGAGCTCATTGTAAGGATTGTGTCAGTACTGGGCAGTTACTCTCTAAAGAGTTGAGAGGAGAGTTGTATGGTATGTTTGTTGTTTCTTAGCATCGGCATGACTCTTAAGTATATATATATATTTTTTTTTAATTTTTTTTAATGTATATTATTTATTTGAGAGAGAGACAGAGTATGAGCAGGGGAGGGGCAGGGAGAGAGGGA